CAAAAGACCTCTCAAAACCAAGTAACTGTAAACATACATAGTATTGCTATATACACAACCCATTAAACAAACAAATGCGACATTATACACTAATACCTAATTACACGTAACATTATCGCACGCCTGATAATATAATGAATATCGGGCTGACCTCACGTAGTCTAATAAATTATATTATTTATCTGTAATGTCATGTCAACAGTCGTTCCCTTCATAATGACTAATACAATCAATTTATTGTACCTTTGTGGGTAATGAACCATTTCATTCACACCTACTAATACTAGCTTTTACCAGCAGCTTTGCTCTTTCCCGTGGGATGTAAAGCCTTTGTGTTATTCTAGATCAGGGTTGCCCAAACAAAGACCCGCGACTTTTTTTCATGTGGCCCGCGACACACATTTTAATCTCAACATCTTCATCTTATGTACAACAACAATATTAAAATGCAGTGTATGATTTGTACGCAAGTTGTCTGTGAGTAAAGAATACAATGTTAAACGTTATTATACAACTGAAAATATTTTTCTGGCTCCTTAGCTTTTGTAAGAAATTTAATTAGCCCGCGAGGGTATAGAGTTTGGACAGCCCTGTTCTAGACTATATCTACCCCTGTTTCGAATTTCATTGTGATCGCTTTAGCCGTTTTCACGTGTAGGAGTAACAAATAAATAAACTTTCGTATTTAAAATGTCGTGGTGGCCCGGATGTTTAAACCGCTTCTTATGCATGAAAATTAGGTCAAAAGAACATTAGGACAAATGAATGTTATATAAAAAAAATATCATACATATTGAAAATTATATAAAATGAAACATTAGATCATATGAAATTAGGTTATATGATTTTATAGCATATGAAAATTATATTGTATGAATGTTATTTCAAGTGAAATTAGAGCATTTGTTATTATTTCATACATTACACAGCCGTTTTTAAACGTTGTTTAGACAATAATAATTTGTAATCATTTGCTTATGTAGAAGTGGAAGCCACATTTCCTTACACATTTATTTATTTTATTTGTATTAGGTATATCTTTACGTCACAAAGATCTTGTTAAACCGCTGTTAACAATGGCTTTTGTCATTAAGTTCGAGCCAGTGACCTGTTTATCATCCATTTAATGTTTACAAGTCTAGTCCGTATAAAAGAAGGTATTATCTACACGTGGAGTAAAAGAAACAGAGTGGCTAGCACGAAAAGTATCGAGAAAGTATTCGTATCGACATCGAAAGCATTTTCTATGGGATTTGTACAGCGCCCCTACCGTGCGTAAAAGGAACTACACGACGCAAGCACGAATGATTTTGACAACTATCGTATCGTAATCGTATCGTGTTGCTATCGAAACTTAGAACATTTTGACACAAATTGGAAGCACGAACGATCTTTTGACAAACGGTAACGTAAATTTCGAAGGCTGGCTATCGAAAACTGTCAAAACATTTGTCACTTAGAATTTGCCGGTGAGAAAGGTTTCGAAACATTTTAAAATTAAGATTTTGTGACAATTATAAATTAAAATGAACTAAAACAAGTAGTGTGCGTATGAAATGATTCATCAACATCAATGTTTTCGGGAAACATGGCAATAATGATGCAGAGAATGCCACTCGTTGTTAAGTTTGTCGTCGTGGATGGATAACCATTAACAATACTTTTGGACGATTGAAAAACCGATGGTGTTGTTTGTGCAAGGAACATACTCCACTACGCCACCGAAAATTGTGCTAATAGCAATAACAGCTTAGTTGTGTTACAAATTTTTGCCATATATTTTGATATACCCAAACCTCAAGCACTATAAACTTTTATATGCCTCATATACTTATCTTTCTTTGAACATGCATTATATAGGATAGGATAGATAGAGGAGATAACTTAATACAAGTTAGCTATAACGCAATTTCGACTGTCCAAAGTATAGAAATCCTTCACCGGGCTAGGTATTTAATGTTATCATAAATTACCTAGATCTTAATAAAGGAAACTTATATTTAAAGTGAATTGTGTAAACAGAATTTTCATTGCTTGAACTAGGTTTATGCAACTTTTGTTTCAAGTCATCACTTTATCATAAATCAGTATAATTTATATTCTGCAAATATTCTGTCAATATGTTACTAAGTATATTTCATAAGAGATAGACTGTATGTATTTAAAGACAAATTTTATTGTACAAAGAGATTCAAGAAAAAAATTAAATCTAGTACTATAATGTTGTACATGTTTAATTTGTTTCATTGTATTCCACATGAAGACACGTATAGGAGCACCATGTCAGCACCATTATATTTCATTATCTTTTCTCACACTTCCTAGCATCATCACTTGTTTATTATCAAGTTGCAAGAACAATTTCGTCAGTTCAAGTTTAGTCTTCTTTGCTGGTCTATTCATTCTCTAATGGAGTAGAAGTAGTTTGTGGGGTTGAAAAGCTGGCTTAGACAAACTCCTGGAATCCTGGAATAGGCATTACAATGCATATTAGGTCAAACACAATGAAGAGAAACTAATCAAAACAATAATAACCCGACTACGAAAAGCAATACCCTTATATTGTTTTTCGCGCGTATTTTATGTTGAAATTTTTACTTACGATACTTTCCATTAACTCCACCCTTATTTTGCATTAGAATTGAGTTCTTTTATATTAATTAAAATAGAAATCTTAATAAACGTATAAACAAACAATTAACTTGACATAATGGCATTTGACCTCTGTCAAACACGACGTTCGGAAATTGTAAAATATTTTATGAAATTACAAATTAACTAGTACCTCTTTTGGTTGTAGTAATACGATTATGTCACTTTACATAACCGTAAACTCCATTCTTGACCTTTTTTTGCTTAACCAATATATCTTAACAAAATATCAAAGCCTTAATCGTGCAGACAAAGGTAGAAAAATATTTTAAAAATGGTTTAGTTTTCAGACGTAATCATTATGCATTCAATTCGTTCACTTGGGTGCTTCTCTATTTTACATCAGCATGACGTCACTAACGAATTTGATTCGAGCTCTCGAAAGACGATACGATAGGCTTCGTGCTGCGACATTCCGTTTTCGTCACATGACGTTTCGACGTCTCGATACTATTACGTTACGAATGCGATAGTTATTCGTGCTAGGCACACAGAACCACTAACGTATATTTTTTTCTCACTTCATCGAACCCTTTATACTACATTCACACTCTCGCGCGAGCGGACACGAGGTTGAGGTACATTACAGTCTTATAATGCGAGAAGGTCTACAACTCATCTATAATAACGTCAATGTATCTCGGCCTCGTCTCGATTCGCGCGAGAGTGTGTATGTAGCATTACAACTTTAAAGAAAATGTTCTTTTTACAAAAAAGAAATGTTCTCATTTTAAAAGTAACTAAATTGGATACTTGGTACTTGTCAATTAACTAGTCAAATTCTTTTTTTGAATTTTTATTTGAACTGTCAAAAACGTCAGTTTTCTATGAATTTTGTTTATGATTGTTTTTAGCGTCAAACAGCATACTTATTTTTTTAAATATTGTTGGAAAAAAACTAAAATTAAATCGGTCATAAAATCAATTACTTAATGAAATTGTGATTATTTTTTAATATTTTATTGTATTGAACAGACGAAATAATTTACTTTTGATTAGGGCACGTACCCAATTAACGTCATCGTAATTTCTTTGTTTAAACGCACTAATCTCAAGGACTCCTGATCCGATTTGAAAAATTAATTTTGTGTTAAATAGTCCATTTATCAAGGAAGGCTAAAACATGCAATAATCAATAGGAGCCGAGCAGAGCAAGTGAAATCGCGGAGGATTAATTAGTTATAGATATGTAGGTAACATAACATCACGCCTTTTATCCCGAAGGGGTAAGCAGAGGTGCACATAACGGCACTTAATGCCACTGTAGATATTGACCCTTAATCGTATATTAGACGATGACACAAAGATTAGGTGCATACACTACTAAGATAATAAACATCAGAATACTATCTCTCACGTATATTGATAACTATGATCAATGGTATAAACAAACTGTGTATGTGGGTAACTCGGTCAATTTGATACATATTTATTTAAATTTAACGGATATTTGATTGCTTTTTAGTTAAGTGGATGAG